ACCAACCAACCAAACCATCACCCAAACATTAGGCAGTAGGTTAAACCAGCATCATCAGGAAAAGGCTAGGAGGGCAGCGAGCAGAGCAGGCAGTCAGGAGGACCCATTCAGGAAAAGGCTTTTGTGCACTGTTTATGTGAGAAAGGATCTGAAAGGCAAAGTGAGGCAAATGCTCTCCCAGTCTGGAGACAGATGTTGATTTCCTAGTGATTGCATTGGAAGCCTTGGTAAATCCAAAGCATGGTGATTTCTGCACTATTCAAAGAAAGCTCAGCAAGAAGAGGAAGACTGTAATAGCCCCCATAGAGCCAAAAAGGTGCATGCAGGGGCACAAGGCACAAACAAGTGTGAACAAATCAGTGTTATCTGGGTTGACTGGACAGCTTACACCGAGCCAGACAAAACTGGGAGCAGGAAAGCTCTCCTACCACTCAGGAGTGCCCAGGGGAAGGTCTCTGCCCTGGCTCTGGGTAAGGGGAGACACCAGCACATGGGAAAGAGGGGAAGGGAGCAATACCAGAGACAACACTGGGTGCCAAACAGTTTAAAAAAAAAAAAAAAAGAGGGCAGAGAATACGAAGGGAACAGGTTTGAAAGAAGACCCAATGCATTAATTTTGTAGCAACGTCCCACTCCAGAGACTTGGGATCTCCCATCATGTCTCTGGAGTTGGACACAGTTTAAATCTGTGAAGCACCAGTAGAAGGAACTGCACCAGGGACATGTTAGTATAAAGAGCGAATCCTCATTTCTTTAAAGCAAGAGCAGCATGAGGAGAAGATGAAAGGAGGTAAGAAAATCCAAAGTACTGGGACCTGTCTTCACTCTGGGCCTCTGTGAGCTCCAAAGGATGGCCTAGGCTTAGAAAGGGACCCTAACAGAAATATACAGGACACAGAACAGAACACTTTCCTAAGTCTCTCCAATGCAGCCACTGCTAAAAGGCAGCTGAAGGACAGCGCAGAAGCTCCAGCTAAATTCAGACTTCTTGGGGGAGCAGAAGCCAGCCCAAAGCCTTGTTCATTGGACAGCCCTGACCTGCCAACGTGCTGGCTTAGGCCTAACTTAGCTATCCTGGCTGCAATTTGGAAGCATCCTGTTGTACAAAGGACTTGCCTGGGCTGTCTGGCCAAGCCCATCACCTGAGTGGAGGTCAGGGCTGGGGGAGAAGCAACGTTGTGACAAGAAAGAGCAGGTTGAGAAAATGCTCCAAAAAGCATTTGAGGATGCAGCAAGCTGAGGTCCAGGCTGCTGCTCTAGTACAACCTCACTGCTTAGTGCCACCGTGCTCTACAGGGATGCTCAGTTGCAGGGAAGGTCCTACCAAAACTCTGGCTCTGCTGTGGCAGCATGCTGAGCCCAATCCACGTGCTCTGCAGGCGCTGTTTTTGCCAGCTCATGCACGGTGGGTGCTAGTCCCTGGTCAAGGCTTCCCATGCCCTCTGCATCCTCTGAGACCAAGGTTGCCATGACTGTCAGGAGTTAGCTTCTCCAACGCTGGTGACGGCTCACACCAGGCAGCCACGCTAGAACGCTTCACTCTGCGCATATGCCCTAGAGTCATTACCTTGCCCAAGCTGCGCCATGTACCAACCGCCCCAAGCCATGCGGTGGGAATCCAGGATGGGCCTCCTCCTTTCCGAGGGGCATGGTGTCTGCTTGCTACTGCTCCACCAGAACCTTCACTGTTCTCCCCCAAAACAGCCCTTTCCCTCCCCTAGCCCAGCCCCTCACCAGTCCTGCTAGGAGCCGCTCTCTTTTTCGAGGAGATGGGCTTCTCGACGTCCACCAGGCCTGAACACCCCTCGCCCTCTTGGTGCTCTGGGGTAGGAGCCACGCTCCTGGACCCTGGACCTCTCCCACCTCCCACAATCCCAGGGCCTGTGGTGGCCCTGCCAGCTAGGGGCTGCTCTGTGGTCGCCGTGGTTAAGTGCTGGGTTCTCCTCATTGCCCTGGCACTCAGCCCCCTGCTCCGGGGTCCATCTCCCCACATTGTGGTAATCCTCCTTCAAGTCCAATGTCCCTGTTACCGGTGAGGGGTCTTCAGGGCACAACTCCTTTCTTTCAGCCAGGGCTGCAGCCCTGTTTCTGCTGTGAGGCTTCGGAAACTCCTGGCTGTGCCTCCCACCAGATCTTTGGCTCCTCTCCTCCCTCCGCTCTGGTCTCTGGCTGAAGCCCCTGGACCCCCTGGGGCCATGGAGCAGATGACAGGGTTCCTCTGCCGCTCTCTGCGCATCGCTGCACAACTGCCTGCCCTGGCCTCTGAGGCCCAGCCTCTCCCCTCTGAGCCTCTCTCGCTTGCTCTGTTGCTCCCTGGGCACAGCTGGTCTCTCAGGCTGCCTGGCTTCTGCCCTTGCCTCTGGAGACCTGGCTGGCTCTGGAGCTGAGGGCTGGCAGGGTGGCTGGGGTGAATCCACAGCGCTTGCAGTCGCCTGCGGCTCAGAAGCTGAGGCTGTTTGGCCTGGATCAACTGTAGCTGGAGGCTGAAAGAAAGAAGCCAGTGATGAAGAAAGGGACAGGCAGCCCCATAGCAGATGATAGCACTGGGCCTGGCAGCCCAGGAACGCCCTCACCAGTGCAGAGCTCAGCAGTGCTCTGCCCCCGGGTGCCATACCGCCTGGAGGCTGATGAAGTAACGGTTTCTCTCTGCTTCAGGGTCAATAATGCCCCCCTTCTCTTGCTGCCTCTTGAAGATTAAGCGCAGTTCTTCTTGGTGCTGCAGTGTCTTGGCATCCGGCCTGTATGGCTCCTGAGTGGCAGAGAGCAAGAGGAGGAGGATAAGGGGGATTCTTAACACCTTGCGTGGGTAGGCAGCTAGCAGTAGTGACAGTGACTCCCCAAACCCACCTCTGATCACACAGCATCTGGGTTACCTGCTTCTCCTCACCATGTACCAGCCAGGCCTACAGATCTGTGTGAAATCCCTAGATGGAGGCAGAGCGTGCCAGCGCAGACCCACTGTTCCCTGCACTGACTGCCCAGGGACCTCCTGCTTCGGAGCGAGATACACGACGGCCAAGGTCGGAGACCACGGAACGCACTGTATGAGCCAGCGTCACTCGCGTGACTCTAATTATATCCCAGTGTGTGCAGGGACACGTTTTAAGTTATTGTCTTTAAGTTATTCTCATTATGTTGCATATGTCATTAAGCTATTCTTTTAGAGCAGAGAGCGCACAAAGAGGTTCCATGAGGGCACTCCCAGCCCCATGGCAGAATCACCTCCCTCCTAGCACATTTGCTCATCCAGGGGGGCAAGACTGATGACACTACACATCTTTGCCTCTCTCCCACAGGACAGTGTTATTTACACAGGCAGATTTAACCATAGGCCCTTTTCTTCCCTCTGTCCTATCATCCTTGAAGCTGGATTCTCTATGGCAAGGCCCCTCCCCGTGGCAGAGGAGCTGCCCTCTAAGATGTGCACATTAGACAGAGTTTGTTCTGTTGTCTGTTTTCCTAGAGTCACTGGCAGGGCACGTGAACAGGCCTCGTCAACAGGCTCCCTTCCCAGGACTTGGTGGCTGTGCAGACACATCTTGGCTTCTCTGTACACATCTGTACACGAGGAAAACAGGATACAGCATCTCCTTTCATGGTTCAGGGGAAGGACACTCAGTGCTAAACAACTAAACCTGCGCTTTGCAGACATGTCAAACAGACAGGAGACACCCTGCTAGATTCTGTGAACTACCCTTTAGATAGACTGTCTGGGAAGATATAAAGGGCTGCAGCACATGCTCATTTGTTCACCTTAACACTTGAGTTCAAGCTACCCAGAGAGCAGACACAGCTGGGCACATGCAGAGAGCAGACACAGCTGGGCAAATGAGACCCCATCTCTTACCAGCGGGTGCTGCGGGGGCGGTGCTGCCTTCAGAGCACAGAGATCATAGACGAGGGTTTCCCGACAGACAGGGCACTGCACACCGACTTCCTGCAAGGAGGGGAGCGTTGATACCAACCCCAGGCTCTGACCCAGCCCACGCACTTCCAGATAATCCCCTTCCTGGAAGGGAAACAGGGTGGCCTTCTTCAGCTGACCACGAGCACTCTTCTGCCAGAGCATGGCGATTATAGCACTTTGAAAATAGCCTAGCCTGGCTGACTGCTACAAACACAGGTTACATTTATCTTGCACCACTGGGAGTCTTGTAAACTCCTAGAGTTAGAGGGTTAGGGGGGTTAGGGAAGGAGCTCACCTTTCACGTGAAAAAGTTTTCAACTTTTATGGTTTCAGAATTCCAAGAATGTAACAAACTCCCCGATTCTTCATATACTGGGCACTGACCCAGAAATACAGTAAACTAACTGCTGAAGTACTAAAAAAATCATACAGTAATTTTGGTCAGAAAGGGCCCCTGAAAGTCACTTGGTCCAATCCCCACTCTGATTTCTAGCCAGGGGCATGACACTGACCATGCTGCACAAGGCTGCTGGCCCACACTAGCCCTTGCTCCACATCCCCAAGAGCTGTGACACAGAAGTCATGGGGGCCTACCCAGGGGTCCATGGAAGGAAGCCCAGGGCCCAATACCTGTTTGGGGGAAGGTGCCAGGTGCTGCTCCCTCTCCTCCTGCTGCATGAGGACCTCCTCTTCCATGTGCTGGGCATAGCGGGCCAGGCAGTGGGAGTGGAAGTAGTGGTAGCACTGGGTCTTTGTGAAGGCTTCTCTCTCCTGTAGAGGAGAGAGAGCAGCTTTAAAGGGTTTCTGAGCACAGGGCTGTGTGGCCTCCCCAGCTGAGGTGGGTTGTCACTCCAGTGTCAGCACTGGCAGCAGGACACTAGTGTTATTGCTGGCACTGAGCCACATAACCTTTTCCATTGGGCTCCATCTCATCCTCAGTTCTTACAGGGAAACTGCACCCTATTCTGCGAGTCAGAAACACTCCTAATGCCAAGCTGCAAGGTTTTTGTGACTGTTTTCTCTGCATCTCTTCCCACCTGATGCATTGTCCCTCCTAGACAGGAATCACCTCTCTTTGCAGGCTGGACAACACAGCTCCTCTGTCCCCTTAGACCTCAGCACTTGCACAAATACATTTCCGTCTCTTCTGACTGCCTGGGCCATGAACTCCAGGAGAGGTTTCACCAACACAGGGAAACAGAGACACGCCAGCAGCTATGCCCAGACCTCATTCACTTTCTTAAGAGACTCTCTGACATCACTCACCATCCCTACACCCCATTTCTGTAGAAACTTATCTCCAGGCTGACATGGAGGCCAAAATACATTGCCTTAGGATGGTACCTGCTAAATAACATTGCCTACAGATCAGAGGGACAGGGGCTGAGACACACATTCCTACCTGGAATCCGTAGAGGCAGATCACACACTGGCCATGGGGAATGTTGTTGTCAGTGAGAATCTCCTTCCCCTTCTGCGGGAGGGGAAAAGCGAACGCTTTACTCAGTGGCCTCCTATGGGCCCAGGCTCAAGGCCATCCCACCCGCAGGAAGTCAGTCAGGGGAACAGTGTCAATGGCTGGCCACCCACCCAAACTCCCCTAACTCTCACCTCAATCAGCTCGTATAGCACCTCTGTCCCCAGTCTGGCTTCAGCAACATGTCCCAGGGTCTGTGAAATCCTAAAGCAAAGAAGCAGAAACACTTAATAGGAGTTTAGACCCACTTTGTACTCTCCCACATACCTAGTACTTCACCATGATGGCAGGTGGAAGAAAGACTAATCACACAGGAAAGCACTGGGCTTCAGGCTTTACCTAAAACACTAGACAGGCACATGTGAAAATACATATCCATGTGCTTTCCTAGCACCTCACAACGTTTGTCCTCAGAGAAGGTGCATGAGCAGGTTTGCAAACTGCTCTGACTTGAGCTCACCCAGAAGCCCTTCTGTTCTGATGATGCTCAGGCTCCATTTTCTGACAGAGTGATCCCTAAGGCAGGTCCAGCAGGGTTCTGTGCTGCCAGCAGATACTGGACTCTTTCTAAGCACATCCCATTGCGCTAAGGACAGGAGCACAAAGGCAACAAGAGGCTGCCCGAGCACTGGGACTCAGTCCAGTCCCATCTCTGCCAAAGCAGGACCAACACCTTCAAGGGCCTAAGAGATTTACATTACGTTTCACTGCAGACCACAGTAGAACAACACATCTAGAGACTTAATCCATCACTGCCAAATTCAGTGTCAGTGGTTCTCACATGATTTAAGACAAGACTTAGTGGCCAGTAACCACTTCTGGGTTAGGGGAGCCACAAGAACTTGGGAAGAGACTTTCCAGCACTAAAATGCCACCAGTTGTCTCCCTCCCATCTCTCCAGAGCAGAAGTTTGTCCTCTTCCTGTCCTTCCCCTCTCCCCCAGCACTCACTTTTGAATTTGCTCATCTGACAGCCCCCGTGGGTTCCTGATGGCGATTTCTGGAGCTTTGTCGGGATACTGGAAAACACAAAAACAAGACGAAACGCGCACAGGCGAGGAATGGGGCGGTGCGGGGGCCG